ATGCCGAGAGACTTCTCAGCACTCTGTTCTCCAGAACGCTGTAATGAGCTCCCGAAGTCAGCCCACTAAGTAAGGCATAATTAAATAACTTGGTACACAGTGGGATGAGGATTTATCTCGGATTTATGCTGCCCTCACAATGACAGCCCAGCTTTGCTGGAGGTTTGACTCAGTCCCGTTCTGGAGGAGGCACTGGTTTTTGCCCAAAGGTTCGCTTCTCATAAAGGCCTTCTGGGAGGGCATCCTTGGGGGCTGTCTAATGGGATATTATCACTCTAACAAGATTGCTGGTCTCAAATGAGAACCAGTAATATGTTCTTCAAGCCCAGAGATGCCACTGTATAATTAGCAAATACTATCTGCATGGAAAACCAAGAGAAACCTCAGAGGAGGGATGGACCGCCAGTATGTGCCTCCAACCCAAACTCTCTCCTAAGAAAGCAGCCTGAGGTGTGTGCAAAGACCAAGGGCCAGTAGTTGAACCCTGAATTGTTACACCATTGGCAGCAGCTAATTTAGCAAGGTTAACGCTAAACCAAGTGCTCTACCTGAGCGTAAACGGTCCTACAGCATTCCTGTGCTGGTAAAAGTGGACTTCACTCATCCAAGGGGAGGATCAGACCCACTCAGCAGGGGCTGAGTGCACACTCCCATCATCAGTTTAGGACTTTCTGTAATGTTAAGGAAGGCTCCACTTGAAGAAGATAATGCTGGAAGTTCAGCCTGGAGTATTCCCATGAGACAGTTTCTTTATCATGGCTAAGCTATGTCAGAGAGGGAATGCTTCCCTGTTCCTGATCAGAGACCAGATTTCCTGATGAAATCAGTGGTTCCCTTTTCTGATTTCTATCAGCATAAAGGTCAGTGTAAACCACAAGCTGGCAAAAAAATACAAATACATACAGTTTTGCATTGAGATCCCAAAACTCAGGGTCATCTGTTACCCAGGGGTTACTGGGGAGACATCCAGACAGAATAGGATCATTGGAGAGGAACTGCTCAGAATACTTCACGAGCCTGCAAGTAAATCCAACAAAATCAAAATATTAATTTGCAGGCAGAATTGCAGCCAGTCCCATTACAGCCAAATAAATGGTTGCACAGACTACAGATATCTTCAGAGGTGCAGCCCTATCGGCACAGGGATCTGGAACGTGGCCCCTGCCTTACTAGAAAAACGGATTCATTAGCTCAGTTAATCTTTTCCACTTCCCAAAGAGTAATCTCCTGGTTGTCTTCCAAAGCAGTGATTTTTGTCAGTTCAAGTGCAGGGAGATACAGGACTCTCTTCCATCACCTCCTTTTGCCTCTTCATTTCATGGAAGTGGGACTAAGCCCCCAAACAGCTTCTGTCTCCTTCTCCAGCCAACTGGCAAAGGCCTAATCCTGCAACATTTTGTGCCACACATTCCAGAGAGGAAAGGAAAGTGCTGTATTTGCTCAGGGTGGGCTCTCCGCAGCCTTCCCGTGGGGTGCGGGAGAGCCCAGGGAGCGTCGAGGGCACATCCCTGCTTCTCCTTTCCTCTGCTCACCTACCACATGGCTCCTTCCTCTGCAAAGGACTCTGAAGGCTTGGCACAAAGCAAAAATGTCTCTATCCTAGTAGGAACCAGACAAACACTTCTCCTACCTTCTAAACTGGCCGGACTTGTAATCACAACCGATTTCACTAATGTCCTGGAATTTTAGCTTTCTCTTCCCTTTTTCATTCTTGAAAAAAATCACCTGGTTTCTGTGTTTAAAATTCCTTCCAGGCCAAACTGCTTTCATGTGCTCAAAGCTGGGAGCGCACTGTCCAAGGACCCGTTGCTAACAGGCACCTTGGCACAGATCCTGCAGTTATACACTGCTGCTGCCCAAAGCACACCACAGGTTTGGCACAGAAGTGCTCGATTCTATCTTCTCACTGGAAACGCCAAGGCATTCAGCACCTGCATAATTCACTCCAATCCATAAATTCTAATCAAGTTACAAATCTCAATCTGTCAACTCAGGTAACGTTACTCTGTCCTTTTAATGATCAGCGCTTCGCAGCTCCTCCTAAATCAATGCTGCGCTCGGATGCATGCAACACTATCTAGTTGCTGCTCTTATCCTCATCAATAATAATTTGATTTGGACTCAGTCCTGCAGCTGAGATGGAGATCCAAATTTCCTGAGGATTTTTTGATCTAGGTGATGGGCATTATCCACCAGAAGACCAGGACTAATGTGTGAAAAGCTCCACTGCCAAACAGTTAAACACCACAAAATTCCTGGAAGGTAGTCAGGTGTCCTCAGCTTCAGTTCACAGTTTGGAAATTTGAGGCAGGAGAGTTTTAAGTGACCTAGGAGCCAGCGACAGCTGAAATGATCAGAACTGCTAGTGCCTTGCAAGTTGTGGTTCTCAGGAGACCGCACTGCTTCCCAGACTCTTCCTCCCATTTCATTCACCCAGGGAACAGGCCTGAGCACCTTGTTTACCTCAGATTTGATATGAATCTCTGGGTGGCAATGACTATGTAAAGCAGACTGGTGGGATGGACTGCACCTCTAGGCAACTGGCCAGCACTAAGATTCCAGGTAAGAAATGCCTGTGGCAAACAGGCTAATGGCTAATGCTAGGACTGGGAGCTTTGTACTTAATTGGCTTCATCAAGAATCAGATCAGGAAAAATGCCTACTGAGAAGAGGAACTGCTAACAAATTGCTCGGACATTCATGGAGACGTGTGTGTTCCTTCATAATACAGAATAACCAGACACGTCCTGAGCTCTGCCGACTTCTGGTGATCATCGCCATACGCACAAGAACACTCACTGGGGCTGAATCCAGCCCAGCAGGCTGGAGATCAGGGACAGGAAGGTCAGTCTTGGGATGAGTTAACTGCTGGTTACTCATCCCAAGCAGGAACAGGCATAGGACCGACACACTGCTGCATCCTTGCAAGGCAGCCTCCATGCAGCTGCTTTTCCAGACTGCAGAGCTGTGCTGTGTCCCAAGCACCACAGTCCAGCCCTGACCAGTCTGAATATCTCTTGATTTCAGAAGGAATCTGAACCAAGAGGCTGGTGCTGCTCTACAGACACTCATAGCAAAGGTCTCCTTAGCTCCGAGGGAGCCTCTTCATCATGACTGGGACTCTGATCCCTCCTCTGCCTTGTGCGTCCTGACCCAGACAGCGCAAACAACACTGTGTGTGGCCATCACATCGATTCCCCTGACTGAGTCACCAGCTGCCAGAGCAGATAGCTTAATCATCTCATTAGAGATGAGCGCCGAAGACTAATTAATGTGTGGACAGAAGGAAATCAGGACTTACCCTCCGAGAGAGACAGAAGATTTCACTCTGGACTTCATGATGGCCTGCTGGTAGTACATGATCTGAGAAGGATCAGACATGTGCAGGGTTAGAAGCATGGAGATGTGAAGACAAGGTTGTACAAGGTTGTCTCTATCTGAACCTCAAACATGCTCTCTCCCAGGTAGCAAGGCTAACTACAACAGGAACTGCTTCTTCCCTAATTATTGGATGTCCAAGGAATCAGAGAATCCCTAAACTGTCTGAGTAAAGTGGCTGTTTTCACTGAGCTTATTGTAAACGTCAGAAGATCATTTTGCAATGTGCAAGTAATTAAACAGCACTCCCCATGCTATATAGAAATTGGGTAATAGCTCCGAGTCTAGGAACCTACAAATGCTCTGGATGATTTAGCATGTAATTATCATTGATCCTTGGCTGTCTCTACACTGGCGCCACTGGATGTATCTCCTATGATTTCCCCACCACTAATTTTGATCTATTGGATTTTAGCCCTGGTCTCTGTCCTTGCTTGAGCCTTCTCATCACTGAGAGAGCTGCTGGCTGCCCACAGTGGGAGGTGCAGAGGCAGAAAATGTCCTGAAAACACATTGACCAAAAGCTCCATGGGGCAGAGACTCTGCCAGCCAAACCCAGACGTTTTTAAAAAGGCTCATCCCCTGCAAAGGGGGCTGTAAGCCTCCATGCAACACTGATGTGAGCAATACATACAGGACGAACACCTAGAAGTGAGGGAAGCACCACTTACCTCTCTTCTATAAATATCCATAGTTTTTTTCTGTAAAATAAAGAAATAAAAATCATTAAATCGGGATGGGTGCTTTCCCTCGCCTTTTCTGAGACATGAAAACACTGTTGCAGGGCTGCCGTTGTGCAGCGCTCTCCAATTAATTCTCATTACAATTAAAATCAAACACAGCAGCTCAGCTAATCAGGGTATCATCAAAGCTAAGAGCATCCACACACCGTAAATCGTTCCATTAGCTGTATTTACTGTTTAGCATTGCTTCTTCCATCACAGGCTGCCTGTATGCCTTCAATTAAGGGGTTATTCTAATGGAGCTAAAATAGATTCGTTTACGAGACACAGATTAGATCATTCAATATTAGCTAAAGGAGACAGGAACCAACACATTGCAAAATATAAACACCACAATTAAAAGCCTCAGAAGCAGTATCTGCTGTGCAAAGGGTGCTTACGTTGTGATTTGAATAACTCAGACTATGTTACATGTCATCCACAAACGAGCAAGCAATTGAAGGCAAGAAATTAACTGCAGGGTGTTTATTCACACAGCTTCCTTTGAAGCACAGTTACTTTGCGTGAAATAAACTTCAGGAGGCAGAAGGAAAGACAGGCTAAGTCAGGAATGCTCCCAGCAAGCCTTTTAAGGCTTATGCAGTGTTTCAGTTCTGCATCTCCTGTTTCAGCCAACAAGATCGGCATCCCAGAATCATTCTATCAAACTAACCCTGTTGCAGACATGGGTCTGCAGAGTGCCTCGGTGAAGTGCAGTTTGTGAGTAATGAAGGATGAAGCATCTGGTATGGAATGCCACAGGCAGCCTGCTTCTCCCATCTTCTCACCCGAGAACCTGCATCCTGAGCTGCCCCCACTTTGGGAAAGGCAAGATGCTCTCCCAGGGCTGCTTAGTGAAGGGACCATCGTTGGGACAGTGGTGCAGATCTGCTTTTGCGTTTTAACCATCATCACTAGTCCTGCTCAGGAGGCAGAAACTATTCTCTGTATGGAAGAAAAATATGCACGTTTTGCTGAAACTTGGTTGGTTTTGAGAGGGCAGACTCACCATTTCAGCAGCAGGAGCCAGATATGCAGCAGATCAGCCAGTCTGTACAGCACTACTGTGAATCCAGCCCATCTGACCCTAACACAAACCTAGCCTGGCCAGTGTAGTACTAGCAGAAATCCTCACCGTGGCATTGCAAAGGGAGGAAGCTTTTTCTGCTGGAAATACCACGACCAGCTCTGAATGACTGCAGCGCACATAATTTCAGCAGGGACAAACAGGAAAGCAAACAGTAGCCACACCAGCGGTGATGCTCTGCTGGCCACACACAGGGAACTGCATGTGAGGGGGTAAGGGCTGACACATCGGGGGAGGAAAAAGCTCTTAGACAACAGGATCACTGGCCACAGGGCTGTACAGCTTCCTTTGCTGATTCAAAGCCCCTGGGACATCTAATAAATGATGGAAGATTCACAGACAAAAGAACAGCTTTTCACCCTGTAGCTGTACCCTTGATGCCAGGTCAGCTTCCAGGTAGACACCATTTCTTCCTCTCATTTCTACAGTGTCATCGTTGTTTTAGATAAGACTGTAGAAATGGGAGGCAAAGAAATCACCTGCTTGTGCAGAGAAACTCACTGCATTTACTGTCCTGGAAGTGTCCTCTTTAGAGTGCTTAGTTTCTGTTTCAGGCCAGCTATTTCCTGCACAATAGGAGTTCACTGTCTCCTCAGGGAACCCAAGATACAAACCAGGCCCCCTTAGATTTACGAGTGCCAGCTGAACTGTTCCATTTGATGGAACTTAAGTGTGGTTCAGGCATTTACTTTAGGAAAATCAACACATTAAAATCATTAGATGGTTTTGAAAGGTCCCTCATTTCTTCCTCTGTTCTGTCAAGTGGGTGCATCAGCCAGGCCTGGTGCAGTGGGGTGAGGAGAGGTGGATGCTGGCACAGTGGCTTGAAGGCAGCTCTCGTGGTAGTAAAGTTGTGTTATCTTCTACAAGGGTCTTAGAGGCAGGCAGCACACCACACACACGAGACAAACAGCTGGTGAGAAAGAGAAAAAGAACACAGTAAGTTACATGTTATATAGACCAAGAAAGGCATCAATTAAAATGCCATCACAACAGAAAAATTACATGTGGGCGAGTAAAAATCAAAGCTAACGTCATGTCTGCAAACAAGGAAAGGGTGTTTTTTTAAAGTGCATCCTACACCAAGGATTCCCTCCTGCCACAGCCTGAGCGTGTAGGTCAGCCCTTGGGACAGCTGGTCTGAGTAAACCAGGGAGGGCTTTGGTGGGGGCTCCAGGGTGGGGAGGGGGTTTTTGCACAGAAAAGGGGGCTATGGCATGAGAAGGGCTGGGCATCACTGAGTAGTGGCGCACACTGAACTGGAGCGGAATCAAAGAGGAGCCCAGCACTGAACACCTTACTGAGGGCTGCAGGTGCTGGCTGTGCTCCGCCCTTTCCAGTTCTCAAATCCACAGCAACCAGAAGGATCTCAGATATTTCGCCCAAGAGCTGCGCAACATTTCATTTCCCTTTCTCCTACAGTGCTCCCATGGCCAGTTTCCAGCTTTGCTGCTGGTACAAGGGACCCTGAATACTCTCTGTGTCCTACTGAGCACTGCCAGTCGTCCCCATCATCCTGCCCACCCTTACCCCTCGCGACAGACAGCAGCAGTGGCAAAGTGCCCTGTACCCCCCACTCACCCTCCCTTATTTGGAAGGAACTAATACTTGGAACAAAAGAGTAATTTCTTTTAATGAGATTAATTTTGCAGGGCCCTTAACGAGTGGCTTATCACAATTATCGCGGATAAGCTCTCCAGCCCTGCAGGCTTCAAATCAAACTGGCAATTAGTGAAAGACCTCGATCTGTCTCAGGCGAGTGCCGCGTGCTGTCAAACATCCTCCTCCCCGAGACACACGGCAGCCCTGGGCACCCTGCATGGCCTCGTCACACCCCGCCGCCACCAGCC